ACCAATTATTGCTAAAGGAATCAACTACAATGCATAAATTTAGTTTTCCCAAACTTTTTCCCAAAAAGTCAAAAACCGACCCCGGGCCCGCTTGGTCAAAACCCGAGGTTCGGACCAAAATCTATTTACCCATTCACCCCCGAGCCCGAATATATAATTGGTTTTGGAATCCGACCCCAATTTCGCAAATCCCTAGTTTCTACCCAAAAACCCCCAATTCTACCATGAACACACTAGATTTGAGGTTTCATGAAATGCAATGGGTCATTGATAGAAAGTGGTTTAAAATCACTTACCAACACTTTGGGGAAGAAATTGTCTTTTGAAAATCGCCTCTAGGCCGTTTAGCTTTTGAAAATTTGAAACAATGATCTATGTCCCGATTTGGGACTGTTTATGAACTGGGCGACGGTATTCATCGCATTCGCGAGGACATTGTCGCGTTCGCGAAGAGCTGCCTTGTTAGGCTTACACGATCGCGAAACCTCCGCCGCGTTCGCGAAGGCTTTGCCCCCCTGGCCTTCGCATTCGCGAGCCCTTGCTCGCGTTCGCGTAGAAGGAAGTCTGACCCCTCCCCCAGGTCCCCAATGCTTCGCGTTCGTGAAGGGTAGATCCCCCATCAGTCCGCGTTTGCGACCAGGGCTTCGCGTTCGCGAAGAAGAAAAACTCCCCCTGACCAGCCCACCCTTTGCGTTCGCGAGAGTAGCTTCGCAAACGCGAAGGACACACCAGAACAGCTGCTGCAGCAAAAATACCAGATTTTCTAAGTTCAGAACATCCCGTAGCCTATCCGAAACTCACCCGAGCCCTCGGGGCTCCAAACCAAAATGCACACAAGTTTAAAAACATCATACGAACTTGCTCGCGCGATCAAATCGCCAAAATAACACCTAGAACTACGAATTTAGCGCCAAATTGCATGAAATTTTCAAGAAAGTTTTAAAACTTCAATTTTATCAACCAAAGGTCCGACTCACGTCAAATCAGTCCCGTTTCTCACCAAGTTTCACAGATAAGGTATAAATATCATAAAAGAGCTGTACCGGGATCCGAAACCAAAATACAGACCCGGTACCAACAAGATCAAATATTAACCAAATTCTTAAAACCATTATAATTTCAGTCTTACAAGTTTAATCAAAAATTCATTTTCTCGAGCTAGGGACCTCGGAATTCGATTCCGGGCATATGCCCAGCTCCCATATTTTACTACGGACCCACCGGGACCGTCAGAACACGGGTCCGGGTCCGTTTACCCAAAACGTTGACCGAAGTCAACAAAAATCGACTTTTAGGCCAAAAATTATTATTTCATCAATTTTCCACATAAAAACTTTTCGGAAATACGCCCGGACTGCGCACGCAAATCGAGAAGGAATAAAATGAGGTTTTGAAGGCTCGGAACACCGAATTGGATTCTAAAACACAAGATGACCTTTTGGGTCATCACAACTTCATGTATGGGTACACATACAACAAGTTGTTCTCTCTGTACATAACTTTTATCGATTGATGCGGTAAACACGTGCAACGCACGTACACTAAAACTAGCAGATACAAAACAAGAGACGGAGCTTGATTTTGAGTTTGGCATGATAGTTGAATTATCGAGCTATATTTTTTAATTTATACCTAAAGGGACTAGCAATCATTTGTTAATAGAAATTTCTAGCAAAAATTGAGTATTTAAAATAATTTTAATGTAGATAATTTATAAATTTAGTTTATTTCTAGCCGATTAGGAACTTCTAATATATCTCACTTTTGAGGAAAATGTTGGGTTTTCACCTCACAATGTTAAGGGTGATTGATTATTTTAATATAGAGAATTTTATTTTTAGTGTAGTGCTAGCCGATTAGGGAACTTCTAATATATCTCATCTTTGAGCAAAATGTTGGCTTTTCACCTCACAATGTTAAGGGTGATTGACAGGAATGGTTCCATAAGGGGTTGGTCTTAGTTGAATGTCCTCGAGATTGGTGGTATTTTAAAAAGATCCCTGGCTTGCATACAATTATTGTTTTTAAGTGTTTTTCTATCGGATTGATAAATTTTATGCAATATTTACTCTATCTATCTGTTACGTAGTTCAACAATATCTATCAGAAACCAGCAAACCCAAACTTCTCCTAAATGATCCAAAATCACTCCGAAACTCATCCGGAACCTCCCGGACACAAACTATATATGAATTTCAATCATAAAACACGCTACGGACCTGCTCGCGCACTCAAAACACTGAAAAGAGGTAGTCTTGACCCGATATTGATCATGGTCAAACTCCAATTTCTTAACTTTACTATTCTCTCAACCAATAATCCAAAATATACCCAAGCCCCTCGGGGCCCCGTCAAATCATACCAACAAGTACCAAAACATGATACGAACTTAGTCGATGTCTCAAATTACATTAAACAACGTTGAAACTACGAATCGCGCCTCAAATAGAATTATGAGTTATCAAATTTCCAAATTCTATAATTTGCGCCGAAGCGTATCAAATCAATCCGGAACGACTTCAAATTTTGACACAAGTCATAATGACATTACGGACCTTCAAATCCACATCCGGACGCGCTCCTAAGACCAGAACCACCATACGGAGCTATTCCCAGGCTCGAAATCCCAAACGGATATCGATAACATCAAAATTCACTTCAACCCAAACTTATAAAATTCATCCAAAATGCCAACTTTCCACAATAAGCGCTGAAACGCTCCCGAGTCATCCAAAACCCGATCCGGACATACGCCCAAGTCCAAAATCATCATACGAACCCATTGGAACCTTTAAATCCCGATTCGAGGTTGTTTACTCAAAGTCAAACCTTAGTCAATTTTTCCAACTTTAAGTTTCCGAAATTAGAATTTTCCATCCGAATCAACTCTGAACTTCCCGGTATTCAATTCCGACCACATGTGCAAGTCATAATAGATGAAATGAAGCTACTCAAGGTCTCAAACTGCCGAACGACGCGCTAGAGCTCAAAACAACCAATCGGGTCGTTACATAAATTTTAATTGCTTTTAAACTCCTACATTTTAGGTACCTAGTTTAAATAAGTTAAGATTTAATAATCATATTTCAATGAATTTTTAGGTCATAAATATTAGGATAATCAAATGACTATTTTGTCTATTGTGAATTATATTTTAAAGGGGTAAAAAAAGGCGAACCATATTTCACTAAAGGTCTTCGTGCTTTTAATATAGTATAGATTAATGGTTATCATACAGATTTACTAATAAACTATCTATATTATATTAAAAGCACGGAGCTCTTTAGAAAAATGTTATTTGTTTTTTTTACACTTTAAAATTTAATTTTACATTGGACAAAATCTTAATTAAATTATTTCTCTAATATATTAGGAGTTTGAATCTTTCCTTTTATAAAGGTACTTTTAATACGAATATCAATTTGAAGTCAACAGATTTTATCTCGAAAAGAGTTTTTATTGCTTTTAACAACTCAAATTGATTCCATGAGGATTCATGTTCCTCTAATTAACGTTGGAACAAACTTGAATCTAATAGGACTGAAATTCTTCCTCACAAATTTAAATCCTTCTGGCGACCAACTCTATAAATAGAATCCAGTTAGACCATTGTTGTTTAAACATCTTGATTTCTCTGACAAGGTAATTATAAACATGTTCTTTTTCATTTCTTTAGAGTAGCTGTTATTCAATCTGTATTGATGTAATAAATAATTAAACCATTAAACTTTCTGAAATATAAACAGAAACAGAAAGTTAGTAACATCAGTTAACGAAATAAATTCTAAAAAAGAGTATAGGAATAAATTGAGCCCACTGAATGCACAATATATCCTTAAGGAGCCTAGGGGTTTACATGAATCGGATTGGTTCGATTTTTATCAAAATCAAACCAAACCAACTATATCGATTTGGATTGGTTCGATTTTGTTGGATTTTTCGGGTTTTGGGGGTTTTTTTTATTAATGAATATTATTCCAATCTTACTTTGTTAAAGATATAGATATAGTTTTGATAAGCGAATATATGTTTAGTAAATATTGAAAAAATTGACCAACATATGATCTATTAAAATATTCTAATGGGAGAATTCATGATAGTTATCTTCTTAGTCGTCTAACAATAATTTTTCGTTAATGTACGCTTTCAAGGTTAACACATGATAGGATCCCAATATTTCTACATTTTCTAAAGAAAATTCAATATAAAGTCTTAAAAATATATATATAAATTAAATATTTATATGTCAGTTTTGTTCGAATCAATAGCAAACCAAGTCAAACCAAACCTAGTCGGGTTTTTAATCGGTTTGGTTTATTTTTTGAATTGGTGCGATTTTCCGGTTTGGTTTGAACACCCCTTTTGAGCCACACACATCGACAGCATATCTACACAGGGTAAATTTCACAAATGGTCATATAACTATGATATTTTTTTACTAAAGTGATATAACTTTGTTTTCTCACATAAATGTCGTAAAACTTTCACTACTTCACTCAAAAATGTAATAGTTACCGGCAACGACAATTCTCCGGTAATTTTTTTCGTATTCTACCATCTTTTTATTTTATTTTTTAAATTCAGGGTAATAAATTATGACTCAACTAAAATATGCATGACCCAATCGTACCCGACCCGATCCGATATTCACAAATTAAAACATCTTTCTCAAGCAAGGATCAGCAAAATACACTCTTAGAGCATAAGGATGCCAGAAGTTGATGGAACACTAGTTGATCCTTTCTTAGGTCTTCCTATCCCTTTATTTCTTAATTGCTCAGCTGTTACTTGCTTAATCATTACATCCTCAAAGTCATCATCACCATCTTCCAAATTTTAGTCGGGGTCACTAAAGTCGTCATTATCACTACCATCCCCAACACTCTTACCATCTTTAATTCTACTCAAAAAGTTTTCAAAATTCAACACACCAGCTTCAGAGCTTTCATTAAACAGGAGACTCAAATCGATACTTGAACCCTACACATAAATGCAATTTAAAAGCACAAAAATAAAAATCGATAATATCAAAAAATCTTAACCCATAATTAGTATCCAAATATACAAAATAACACTAAAATAAAGATAAACCCTAGCCCACACTCATTGTCACAATATACAAAAATTCTAAAATAAAGCGAAAACTCTACCCCATAATCAGGGTCGCCAACCAAAATTCAAACTAACAAAGGCAACACAAACCAAAAATAATAATTTTTACCTCTTTTGGAGTCATACCTAGTGCAGCAAAAGCATTTGTGTGGTCATTAAGTGCAGCAAAAATATTGTGGTTGTCCCTTAAAGTACTCCTCTGAGATGGAGAGGAAGCCATCTTTTTGGCTTGAGAGCCCTGAAAGACCGCTGCTTGAGAGCCTCGAAACACTGTTGCTTGAGAAGAGAACTGAGATAGTAGTATGTATTTTGCTGATCCTTGCTTAAGAGCCCTAAAAGACACTTGAGAAAGAACTAAGTACCAAATTTGGGGGATGTTTATTTTGTGGATGTGGATATCGGGTCGGGTCATATTTTAATTGAGTCATAATTTATTAGACTGAATTTAAAATAAAAAATTGGTAGAATACGAAAAAAATTACTGGAGAATTGTCTTTGCCGGTAACTATGACTTTGTGAGTAAAGTAGTGAAAATTTTACGACTTTTGTGTGAGAAAATAAAGTTATATGACTTTAGTAAAAAAAAATATTATAGTTATATGATCATTTGTGAAATTTACCCTATTTACACAAGGTATGAAGATCTCCCTAGACAGGTCAGGGGAATGATGCAACTAGACAAGTAGGAAGTAGCATCTTTTCGGATCAGACAATTGAAGGCAGCTGAAATTTGCTATGATCCACCATGAGCAGATAGAGATGCAGTTGAACTGCTTTTTTCCTTTAGTCTCACAATTATGAACGATAATTAGACACAATAGATTGAGGACTAGAGTACTAACCTCACAAATTCAAATGGAGGGTAAGGTTTTAACTTTTAACACCAAAACCAGTTAAGGAAGAACCTCACATAACAACAGATTTATCAACTTAAAGCATACCAATGAGGAAGGATCTGAGAAGGAGAGTAGAGATATTTATTCTATACCCATGCAAAACTAGATAATTATATCTCCTTGCACTTTGTCATTTAAGACCCCAAGGCCCAAACACCTACCAAAACTGACCCCGAGATTCCCTTGTAAAAGCACCTGCCCCGTCCACGAAACAACATCACTTACCAAAACTGCAAAAAGTCCTAGTCATCTCCGTCACTGCTTGTTTGAGATTCTTCATCTATGCCATACATAACTTCATCTACCTCATCATCCTCACTTTCATCCATCCGCCCCTCGAGTGTTAGTGTGAGGCTTTTCCTATTATCAGCCTTCTCGATCTGAAAAGTAAGAACAGACAAGGGTTCGTGTGAGAACATGTACTGGACTGCCAAATTTCTTTTACTATTGAAGTAACCAACCTGTGCCATTACGAGCTGCAAACGACCAGATAACTGCAATAAAGAGCTCCGGGCTGCCACCTTTGACCTGGTAAGCTGAAGAAACACAAACGATCAACTACTTAATACCTTTCAAAGTTTTTCACAGTCTAACAATAGTGAGTTTTTGTCATCATGAACAATCTTCAACTACCGAGAGACGACTAATTATGGTGACAAATTCTTCAAAATAGTTGGAAAACAGGGGTTGATCTGGCCCATTGTTCCAGAAGTCAGAGCTCAGTTGGAGATCCAATTCTTGGGATAGTGACCAAAAAAATGTGACATTTATAAAGCATAATATCATGTTGGTGGGAGTTAGCACTCTATTTATTGTGGCGATGTGGCTCCATAGAAATGAACATGCCTACTCACAGACATTAGTGCCAGTACTTCATCAGAGGAATTTAAAAAAGTCAACGCCAAATAGGAAATTGAATAAACCTCAAGATATGTTATCAGATATTGACTTCAGTTACCAAACAAATGAGAACCCAAACTAATGAATATTGGAATGGAACAGGTCCAATGAAGCGGAATGGATTATTTATGTAGTCAACACTAATTTCTGATTAAGCTATTCACCAAAAGATGTATATTGTAAACTGACTTCCATTTCCCTTTGATTTTTCATTTTCAAACTTGTTCGGTGATCAAACTTCAATAAGCGTTCATGACTACTAGTCTTCTTGTAGTCTTGTACAAAGCGAATTCTGTTGCAAACTTGACAAGTTTGGAAGGACAAATGTCCCTGCCCACCCACTGAGTTCCCAGCTTAGCTACTCAAGGGCCACTACATTACACTTCAGATGTCCCCACTAACCACTCCTGTGGAGGAAGGAGGGAGCTTTATAAGATGCTTGCAAGATTTTTGAAGACAAAGAGGAGGAACATAGTTAGCCTTAAGCAAATCTCTTTGCTCCTTTTTTGGTGTAACATGGCTAGAATCAATGTTAATGACGTAGACGCTATGATATATTATATTAGTAATCTGCACAGCTTGTAATTGGGTTGTACATGCCAACCAGCACTTTCTCCATGCTGGTTTTTCTGATATGATACTACTCTCCAATTACTTATCGCAAAAAAAAAAAAAAGGACTGCAAGAATGAGTCTTCCAACTTAGGTTACAAAATATAAGTAAAATAATCAACTTACAAAAGGCAGTTTCTCCGTTAATCAATGGAGGGAATATGGTTCCTTGCACAAATATGCAGGTTTTGCCGTACTAAAATAAACTGCAGTATCGAGAAAAAATGGCACTCCATAAGGCAGTGTATTACATGGACTCTTTGTTTACCTAGATTATATGGACGGGTAGCATGGGTGTGAGCATTTCCTTTTTTCTTAAAATAATAGTGATATCTAGGCCAGCTTGTGGACTCACTATACCACAAGTTAGCTGCAACCTCCCACCACAGGTATCCGCGAGTAACTTTACCTACCCAGTCTTCCGCAAATCGAAAGAAATCACCTAAGTAGGTGTTTGGACATGAATTGGTTGATATTTGAAATTAAGTTGAAAAGGGTATTTGGGAATTGAAGTTGTGTTTGGACATGAACGTACAAATTGAAGTTATGTGGGTGAAAACTTGAAAAAAATCCTAAAGCCTGTTTTTCAAACTTCAAGTTCCATATTTCAAGTTTGAAGTTGAAATAATGAGCCAGTTTAATGAACAAATCGTTATTTGAGATAATCACCAAATATCATTTCAAATTCTTGAAACCAGAGCTATCGACAAATATTATTTCGAGTCGTTATCTCTACTGGAATTTGAACCTGGTCACCAGGGTTTGCACCCATTTCATTGATCAATATGCCACACCCTAGTAAAACCCTGGTGACCAGGATTATGTTGTTCCTCATCTGTACCTCAATCCAACACTCATCCCAATTCATGTAATATATATGAGGAACACCATGATCCTGCCATCATCACAATTTTTACTACAGCCATGATCATAGGCAACCTCCTCTACACACACAATAACCAATATTCTTCGTATGTGTGTGATACTATAATTTTTGGCATGGAACAGTCATCAGCATCCCGATGAAAGATTAGTTATTAGCTTTTTCCTTGACAGACTTTTTCCATAACTTAGCATAGCTGTGAAACCTTCCTCCTTCATAACATACCATCTGGAAAACTGTGTCCCTTTGATATGGAACAGAATAACACTCATCACATTAAGTTGAGAAAACAAAAGGAAGTAATTTATCAAAAAGATCAATCAGAAACAAGATTATAGAAAACATGAAACCATCAATAACTTGGCACCCCCAAAGTAATCACATAATTGCCAAGCAACAGTAGCATAGTGGCAGCATATCCTACCTTGTTCAAGGAATCCAGAAGAGGAGTCAGTGGTTCCTGCGATGTAACAAATTCATTGTGGTTTACCAATATACAGTATATCCATGGAAGAACATGTCTTCCCATGCTTGATCTACAAAAAAGAAAATACATGCAAAACGAAAAAAAGAATTATGATATGCATAAAGATTTAGCTATCAATAACTAAAAGGTTTCCAACTGGTGCAATCATTCGTTCTGCCAAATAAAGCAATAACTAGCCTTTTTGCAGAGTTAAAGGAGGGCAAATTCTGCTATGAATTTCCAAATGTATCTCGAATTGGGGCAATGATTAGTACTGCGACATTATGTTTAATGATGTTGATACAGAAAATATTAGCTATTTTAGAGAGTTTCAGGAGGATGAAATTTTTCCAATAAGAATTCCCAAATCCTAACCTAATCGAGAAACCCCCGAAGGGCAGGTGCTGTCAAAAGTCGGTGAATAATGGGCCCGCCCTTACCCTTCTTCACTTTACCAAGCTCCCTCTGCCCTTTTTCACTAAAACACCAGGCTTTTGTCATCGCCGGGTTCGAACACGGGAGGTGCGCCTAACCTACACATCACGCACTGCCACTTACCACTAGATCAAAGCCCTGGGGCTACTTGTTGGCAGTATTTTCAAATTTCAAGTAGTTTCAAGATCTTTCAATTTTATCTCAAAAATTCTAATGACTAATGTCCAAGAACAGTCTGTGGAATTAGTTTTCACATTCAAGAACTGAACCAGGCCATTATTTTAGGGATTTAACTCAAAATAGAGTAACAATTTTTGTAGTGCATTTCTTTTTTCCCCTTAAGTGGGAGGATGCAGTGCTTCTGCCCTCTTGAGGTACAATATGGAGTTGATACGTGCAATCTCCTTCGAGGATTTGAAGAACCCACCTGGACTGCCATGCAGCCACCAAGGCACTCAATAAGTTGTAAGCATCAGGTGATTCCAGAGATAAAACAGCTGATTTCATCTGTGTTCAATGAATACAGTTAAAACAAATTATTGAAGATATGGTAACATAAAAAGTGAGCAAATCAGACCCAAAAGTATCCTGAGTATTCCAAGAGATACAGACCTTCTTCGGTGGCATACTAGCATCAACACTTATTCCTTTCAAAATCTTAGGATCAAGAATTGAGTTAGGCGAGAGATCATAGTCACTGTTAATTATACCTATGGATCTTAACTGGTCCTCCATGCAAATTGTGACCTCATCTTCACCTTGTTTTCCAATGACATCTGCAAATAGCAAAACAAAAGCTTCCACGTTAAGTAGTAAACATTTAGGTAACATATCTAATTTATTCTCGAGACAAAAGGATAAAGACAAAAAAGTTAATTGACACAATATTCTAACAGTCCATAAAACTCGGGATGAGAACTATTGTTAGCAACGAAAACTTCCGAGTTCTACTAACAAAATCTCATCTAAGGTCACATAACTTATTCTTCACTAGTACTCCCTCTGTTTCAAAAAGATTGGCACATTCCTATATTTCCTTAATGGGAAGCTTTTATAGCCACACAAATGTTATGGCTGGTTTAAGACCACAAGTGTCAAAAGTTTTATAGCCAAAATGTTATGGCATATTTAAGACCACAAGTTTCAAAAGTTTTCCTCTCTTTATTAAACTTTGTGCCAAGTCAAACTAAGACAAACAAATTGAAACGGAAGTAGTAGTAAAGTACTGATGAAAAGTGAAGAAAGTTCCTCTCGCACATTTGAGTTGACAAATTAAATATTCAGTGCAAAAGCACTAGCCAGATCATGGATCACAGGTCTCAATATGACGATTAACCCGAATAAAGCAGGGATCTGAGAGCAGCAGAGAATCTCAAATGAGTGCTGTTTACAAACCTAGGAACAATTCTGGCATGGTGTAACCAGTTTTATCAGCAGTTCTAATCTATAAGATTCTTCCTCTTAGGGAATGGCAATGTGCCTTGAATTCAAGATACGCAACAACAACAAGTTCGAAATACACACACACAAAAACCAAAAAATAGTGCCAAAAAAACCAAGATATCATGGATCACAAACAAATTAAATATTCAGTGCAAAAGCACTAGTCAGATCATGGATCACAAGTCTCAATATGACGATTAACCCGAATAAAGCAGGGATCTGATCATCTGAGAGCAGCAGAGAATCTCAAATGAGTGCTGTTTACAAACCTAGGAACAATTCTGGCATGGAGTAACCAGTTTTATCGGCAGTTCTAATCTATAAGATTCTTCCTCTTAGGGAATGGCAATGTGTCTTGAATTCAAGATACGCAACCACAACAAGTTCGAAATACACACACACAAAAACCAAAAAATAGTGCCAAAAAAACCAAGATATCACAAAAATTGGTGCAATGTTAGGTGATACCTTTGCTCACTGTGGGCTTAATTCCATGCACGACACCAACCTGATCAAGAATCTTAGGCAAAGGAAGTAAGGCACCCTCTGCATTTGAACAATCGAGAGCAGTAACTGTTCAATGAAAAAAAAAAAAAAAAAAAAAAAAAGATGTTAGGACAGACGTGTATCAAACATGCAAATTGATCATCGCATTCAATGATGGTACAGACCATGAAACAGGAAAAAGGGTTGTCTCAAATCATTGTGATTCTTAACCTTTAAAAGTGAAAACAAATAGCACTTTTTCCTTCCATCCTGAAGAAATAGATGGTCGAAAAGGCAAACGTGTTGCAATTACCATTTATCAGTGTAACTCCATAACTCTGTCTCAGGAAAATTATGCTGAAACATCTCAAACATCACCTCATACTTATGCATATTAAACGAACGCCCTCTGTCTCAGGAAAATTATGCTGAAACATCTCAAGCATCACCTCATACTTATGCATATTAAATGAACGCCAAAATCATACACAACTTGCAGCATAATGATTACAGAAAGGAGGAAAGATATTAAAAGTACATAATGGCACAGGACGACTGTCATCTCAAGCCTTTGGACAATTTTTCTTTTGTGATTAATATGGCATAAGATTGTATTAGATGGGCGCTGAGAATACAAAAAGGGGCTAGAAACAAGAACGTGGTGCTGGATAGGACCTACTTTCATCCTAGACATTTTCAAATAATAAAATTTAAACAGAGGATTCACAAGGATACATTGGGCTCTTCCACCTACTGGGCCACATATTAGGAGGTCGAAATTCTCTAACACTCTGGAGAATAAGTTAAGGGAGGGAGGAAGATGTAGAAATTAGCCACGTGGAAAGAAATGAAAATGCATTAAAATTTGGGAGGGAATAGCAAATTTGCTGATATAAAGGAAGATTCAAGAAACATTTACATCGCCATGCCAAATCTGTCAATAGCAATCCATACCTATTTAACCCGGCAATTTGATTATCAAATTCGGGGTTCAATAATTTTATGTTTTGACAAGGACATTAGAGAAGACAGGGGAGGCAAGTGCAAAGGAAGGAGGAGAGAGTGTACCCTGACTCTGAGTTTTAGATGCTTGTTTAGATTTGCGAGATTGACTGAAGGGTAGAAGGATCCCGTCAAGTGAACTTTTTAATCTGATATCCGCCCCAGGCTGCACCATAACTTTTTCAAATGATGGTTTTATTAACAAGCCATATGCAACAAACATATGACCGGAACCAGATGTGCCAATAGATTGCAATTTTGCTGAAAAAATACTATGCACGGCTTCTTTATGTTTCTTCAGAATTTTCTCATCTAAAGATGCGCATATTTTTGTGGGCTTCAAATTGTGCAATTCCTCAAAACTCTTTCCATGCCAAAAGTAGCAAACACCGATTTCTGAAATGGCCAAAACACCTAAACTTGCATCATTTTCAACTCCAGGTTTAATGCAGTAACTATCCAAAAAGACAGCAGGGTGATCCATTGGAAGTAAGCAGCACGCTGATTTCTTTTTGCTGCCATCTAACTTCCAAACTGCTATGTGTCGGTCACCAACAGCAGAAGAAAGAACATGTCTCCCATCTTCAGAGAAAACCATACATCGAACAGCCCCCTAATATAAAAAGGAGAAAAGAAATAAGGTGACTCACAAGGATGGTAACAGAAGTATTCTGCAGTCTGTATTGACTTCACTTAATCACAATGCAAATGCATCAAAAGGGAAGCATATAAAATAAAATGAAATATGCATAACACTCACAGGGTGGCCTGAAAACTTCTGGAGCTTTTTGTCATCCAAGCAATTGAAAATTTTCAACTGAGAAGTTGCTGTTGCTAATATTTTCCCATCTGGCTAGACAGAAAGCCAAAAGAGGAACCAGTATCAGCATAACCAAATTAAGCATAGAATGTTGGCTGATACAAGAAAACGACTACAGGAATGCTAACACGGGATAGAGGGGGGAGGAGGATACAAATGGAGCAATGGCATGTATCCAAAACATATAGTGATCTAAAGTCTAAATATGACACGAGAAGAATCTTGATAACTCTTAGCTCGGGGAATCTCGTATCATCATTGCGAGTACTCCATTTTGCATTTAAAAAACGACAAGGGGTAAAGGATGCCACTCATTCAGTAACTCATCCAGATTGACTAAAATCGAGATAATTAAAATATAGCCATCATCAAACCTGAGGAAACGGATAAAGATGATATTGCTTTAGTGGAAGCTTTAAACTTATGCAGTAAGTTCCCTGACATAGAGTCAATTTTGCAAACCAGTCCATCAGCACCAGCCGTGTAAATGAATGAACCATGTGAAGGGAATGAGATGGCATTGACACCGCTGCTCATTGACATACGAATTTCAACAAAAGCAGGGGAGATATGTCATATCATAATCTTACTATATTATAAAGATCTCATACGTAAATATAAAGCAATGCACCTTTGAACTGTGAGAATGATAAATGTAAGAAAAGCAGAGACAAGCTTCAAGATAGAGATAGTACAAGTGGCCAGTGGCAGAGCCAGGAGTGATTTCACTAAGAGGTGTAAAAATATAAAAAGGTAAATACACAAAGAAGCTAAGGGGATGCAATATATAATACATATACATAGAAATAATGTTTTGACCTAGCTACATAGTGTAATTTTCCGGTGAAGGGGTGTCAGCTCCTTAACCTAAGGTGGCTCCGCCACTGCAAGTGGCATGATCTACAGGTCATTACTACTTCTGAGAGTAACTTTTATCGAAAAGAGTTCCACTTTACTTTTACAAATTTAGGATACAAAAGCACGGAGCAACTAGTGACAACCGGATAAAAACAAGAGTAAAACATGGTGAAAAAAATATTTTCATCACGCAATAGCAGGAACAAACAAAAATTCATCCGAAATCTCCCTTCTTCAAAGTTGGACATATGTGCTAGACATCAAATTCTGAGCCTCTGTATTTATACTTTCCAAATTGCTATCTAAAAGCTAGTCTACCTTTTCTTCATAATGTGTCCTACACCTCAAATTGAAGCGATCTTATGTCCAACATATAGTACGCAGAAGAACACATAAAAGAAAGCTATTTACCATTCTTTCTGTAAGTCAAGATAATATTAGTTATGAGTTACGCAAAGAACTCACCCAGGATGGCAATCAGTAAATCTCCATTTGAGATGACCTGCAGATACATCTAGAGCCAAAACATCACCACTGCCTGTACCTAAAACCAATAGTGAAGTTCCAAGCTTCCTTTTTTTCTGAGCAACAAGTAAAATAGCCCTCATTAAAGGAGTTGAAGTTAGAGTAGAACTAAATACTCCCTCCGTTTCAATTTATGTGACACGCTTTCTTCATTAGCCAGTGACATATTTTTATATTTGTAAACAATTTAACTTTGAACTTTTCATTTTATCCTAAATGAGAAGCTATTAACATAAATTGGAATGGAGGGAGTAATACATTTTGTTTTCTCAGACAGGGAATTCCACCTTTCTGTCACATGATAACCACTTCATGCAAGTATAATCCATAGAAAGATGACCTCCTGGTTTAGTAAACAAGCTTGCTGTTGTCTCAGTTGACACAATATCTGCAAACTCCGTCTGTACTTGACCCTTAACTGTATCCCATATCTGAAAGTAAATAGTATACAGTGGAATAAAATTCCAATAAAATGTTAAAATTGCTTTAACATGATTAGAGGAGTATACCTTGATACGGCCATCACCAGAACTGACAGCAAACAAGTCCAAAGAGGGACTCAAACAAGTCAAAATGTCCCTTATATTTGTTGTGCCCATTGCTGAAAGGGATTTTAAGAGGATCTGAAACAAGGGCGGCTCTAGGGTTCTTGGCTTTAGCCCCCAAATATTTAAGGCGCCAAAATTATAAAGTACCACTATATTATTTTTATATTTATACAATTATTATTGATAAAATATTTTAAATTCTAATATTTATTTAAATTTAGTAGACGTAGGATTGAATGACTCCTTCCAAAGAACAAGGTGGAAAGTCTGGGAGGAAGGATACGAAGGTCTATTTGGAAACAGGCTCTCAGGATAGGGTAAGGTTTGCGTACAGGCTACCTGCCAGACCTTGAATGAGTTAAATAGCATAAAACTTTTCTCTCACTAAATTAAATAATATATTTATCTTCTCCATCAATTCTTTTTTTCTTTTTTCCTTTTTTCATATTTTTTCCTATTTTACTTTCTAATTTAAAATCAAATTATCTAAATTAGCTATTCCTTTTTGTCACATTTGACAAATCCTCATATTCACTTTTTTTTCAACTAAGAAATCCCAGAGATAATTATCGTAAGGTTTACAATACGATCGATAATAGGCTCAATCTTTTACCATTTTTATTTAATGTTATATCTTTTTATAGGGAGTTCAATACCATATGACTTACGCCTAACCCACATATTATTTCTCTCACCACTTTTTTTGTCTCAATATTATATGGATATTATGAAAGAAATTTTAGGGTCTTTTAATATATTTTAGTTTTAAGCTACCAGTTCCGTTGAGCCGCCCTCATTAATGATCAACAATTATTTATAGACCACTGCCCATGAACTAGTTATTCAACAGCTTCATTCATATTTGGTAACTAAATAACACATTCACTTATTGTTATCTTATCTTAATTGAGACTCTATAAAATTTGATTGAGAATAACAGGAGGATGGACATGTGACTTGATTAGGAGACTAGTAAAACTGTAATTTAGATTCCCAAAATTTTGTTAATAATTGATTTTATGATTTTATTTCAAGTTAGACAATATTAAAATTTGCAAAAAAAAAGATACAATAAACCTTGGACAAAAGAAAGAAAGAAAGACTATCTACTTTTTAACACTAAAAATATTTTAGAACTTTGAATTAAATTACTTAGATCTTCATATTAGTAAATATATTTTTTACAACAAAATCAAAGGTAACATATTGAAAATACACGTTTGCCACGACCCAAAACTACTCTGTCATGATGGCGCCTATCGTGGAATTAGGCAAGACGACTCTTTACCAAAAACAACGCGATATTTCATTTTCAAAAATAAATTCATACTATTTAATAATAAATCTTCACAAAGAACATCTAAATAATAAAAGCGCGGAAAGAAAAGTCCGACATCGGAGTGTCACCAGTCATGAGTATCTACTAAAAACTATCCGACAATACCGAGACTAACACAGTCTAGAAATGTAACTGCAAAATATCTATAGGAAGATAGGAAGGAGAAGAGCAGGGTTGCGATCGCCAGCAGCTACCTTGCTAACTTCGAGAAAATCTACAGCTGGAACAATCAACAGCCGCTACCGGGTCCTGATACGCCTGGATCTGCACACAAGGTGTAGGGAGAAACATGAGTAATAAAGATTGAGTTATGAAATCAATAAGTATAACATGACTAGGTATAGATTTTCAACCAAAAACAGGGAGAGGATAATAAGAAAAAGGCCCCTAAGGGTCCAAACAGCTCTGGCACAAGGCCCAAATGTGGCATTCAGCCCAATTTATAGAAATTCTTTCTAAAACACATAAGTATCATATAGTTTCAACCAAATACGCAGCTTATAGTTACTACGGGACGGACCAAGTTACAACCCCCAACGGTGCATGCCCACACGCCTGTCACCTAGCATGCGCGTCACCTCAAAATAGTAAAACGATACGAAATACGAAAATCATACCGTCGGGAATGGATTTACAATCGATACTTATCTCAAACCGGTCAAATCTCTACTTCGCGATGCTCTTGCCCCTCGACTCGGCCTCCAAATGCTCTGAATCTATTCACAATCAGTACAACACCATCAATATACGCTAATGGAATGAATTCCACACGAAAAACTATCAATTTAGACCAAAATTCCGAAATCCACTCAAACCCGACCCCGATCCCATGTCTCGGAATCCGACAAAAATAACAAAACTAGAACCATTTTACTCACGAGTCCATACATGCAAGATTTATCAAAATCTGACTCCGTTTGACCCCCTCAAATCCTCAATCAAACTCTCCAAAATCTCAAGCCCTAACCCCTTATTTTCACCCCTAGTCTTCACAAATTACATGATTAAAAAATGGGGAATCATCACATATATGAGTATTAGGGCTCAAGCCACTTACCTTACTAATAAACCCTTGAATTCCTCCTCAAAATCGCTCTCAAAAGTTCCAAAGCCGACTAAAAATGGTGAAAAATGAACCAAAATTTGCGAAGTATATTCGTGGTATCATTTGTGATGTGTGTGCAAAATTTGAGGTCATTCAGACGAGGTTTGATAGGTTTCGGCATCATTTGCGAAATTTGGAAGTTTAAAAATTCTTAGGCTTGAATCCGAGGGCGTTTTGGCATTTTGATGTTGTTTTGAGTGTTTCGAAGGTTCGACTAAGTTCGTATATTGATATGTGACTTGTTGGTATTTTTGGGTGAGGTCCCGAGGGCCTCGGGATGAATTCGGATGATTAACAGAGAGTTGAAAAGTGGAATAAGGCAGCTGAAGCGCTGCTTCTGATGTTTCCGCACCTGCGGAGTGGGAACAGCAGGTGCGATGATCGCAGATGTGGAAGGTGAACCAGAGATGCAGAATCCTGGAGAGCTGAGGCAGGAGCCGCAGATGCGGATAGTGGAGCGCACCTGCGAGACCGCAGGTGCAGTGTTGTGATCGCAGAAGCGGGTTCTGAGCGCATAAGTAGGAACCGCACATGCGATGGATTTTCCCAAGTGCGGCGTCGCAGAAGCGACATTTTGTTCATAGATGCGGCACCTCTGGGCAGAAAGTATAAATTGTGGACCCTAACTTCTGAAATTCCATTCCGATCTTGATATCAAATTTTCCACTGCCGACCAAATTCGTCAAATTTCTAACTTTCACCAATTCATGCCTAATTCTACCACAGACCTCCAAATCACATTCCGGATGCACTCCTAAGTCCAAAATCACCCAACAGAGCTAACGGAACAATCAGAATCCAATCCGAGGTCAAATACTAAAAAGTCAAAACTTGATCAAACCTTTCAAGTTTAAAACTTCAAGCTAAGAATCATTTTTTCGAATTTATTCCGATTAACCTGAAAGCCAAAACCGACGATTTACGTAAGTCATAATACATCATACGGGGATAGACATGCCCGAGAACTGGTGAGCGAAGTGCAAATGCTCAAAACGACCAGTCGGGTCGTTACATCCTCCCCCACTTAAACATGTGTTCGTCCTCTAACGTGCCCAGAGTTGTTCCGAAAACCATGAAATCGCTGCATAACCCTACCATGCACATAGCCGAGGTGATCCCACGTCACGTTATCCCATATAGGTCTAATAGCACAACATAACTGAAATTTCATAATTCAACCTAGCCCATAACCTTAGAACCAAACTTCCACTTCCGAAATTATTTATAAGATCAGAATCTCACATCTAAACACTGAATGAGTCTGAGCACGCTCTATCAAGCCATAACCGCAACTCAAGATGAAATCACATGATATACCACATAACTCAAACACTCATAGCGATAAGTTCTAATCATCGCAGCTGCTTAAACAACCCAATACCAGTAATAAACCTCTTATCAAACAAAGCCTTATTCCAACACTTTTGTATACTTCCAATAATGAAAGAAACGTGAAGAAATCATAACCATTCCTCAGATTAACCAGTCATGGAGCCCTCCTCTCCTTTGGCAAGGACTATAGTGAATTTCTAAGCCGAATTTCGATATTATCATTCCAACATGCAGAAATCGAATCCGATAGTATTCATCCAATGTCCAATGACCCCATCTCATCCAACACAACTACTCTAGTGACATGACACATCACTACTATCTAAAGCCACAACCCATGCAATCCACGCACCAATAAGCAACAATCCAAATGTACTCAAATCATGGAAAATAACTCAAATAAGAGAGTTGTATCACAAGATCACCAGTACCGCCTCAACACGATGCTAGGAACTCATCACACACCGTAGAACCAGAACACATGAATCTAACACGAAGGATCATATCCCAACATAACTTCGATGCAATGCGCGACCCCATCCAAACATTGATCTGCATATATACCTCGAGCCACCCTGCTCAAACTCCATGCCCATTCGAAACTCGAAATCAAGAACCCAAAATGCATTACCACAACCACGGAGAGCAAATAACACAATGCCACCATCTGAAATAACATAGCTAACACGCAATCAATCACGCAATACCCGAATACTCATCCTACTTAAATTCCCGCTATAAGCCTAAATAGAACCACACCATGTGTGCATATAACCAATGAATCACAACTCCTCGTAGCATAGAAGAGTAACTCACAATTAAATCTCGGAGCACGAATAAGCTTAACAACAACCGAATGGCATCTCTCTCAATAATAGCAGTTCAGAGTCAATATATCCGACTCGATGCAGAACACACATCTATATTGGGCCTACCAATCAACCCCAAATCAACTCTGGTCACCCTTAATAGATGAATAACTCTCCGAAAGTTCACAATGACTGAATCATAGCACATACTATCATCTGAATAGTTCGCCCACATCTTCACAGTCCACGACCACGAAATAATCTACTCACGAGAACTCCAGTCTCCAAATTCATAGAACATACGAATCACCATCTCTGATCTCAACTCCACCTCCTGGATGTCCACATTCCTCCAATTACACAGTCACCCCGCGAGGAATACTTCTAAAATTCTTCTGTGCTACAAAGCAAAATTTGAAATCCAGCAGTCGATCAAACAAGAGAGTGTCGCAATACCAATAAAGTATCCAAAACTCAAACGCATCGCTCTTTCTGAAATGTATACTCTCATCAAGCCATACCAGCTAGTAATATCATT